CAATTATCGCACTTGAAGTGATGAAATTCTGACGAAGGAAATTTGATTTGTTGGCTGAACACTGGTGGGCATCTTGTGTTAGCGTGTGGAACGAAAACACGGCGTTTCTTGGAGCGCGAAAAATATGATCATTGCAAATGTTGTTGCCATATTTGTTTTTTGATTTCTTAGCCTAACAATAACCTCAGTGATATTCACCTTAAGAAACTGCTCTATTTCTTTCAGACGTTCTCTGAAGCTTCGAGTAAGCTTACTATTTCATGACAGTTCTTATAGCGCTAAAAACTTAAATAAAATTTGCATTATGATGGTCAAAATCGGTTTTGACACAAAAACTGCAATATGACATAATATGCTTGTAGAATAACAAGAGCAGCTGTTATTTGTCCTACATTCGCGCCTCAGGAATATTGCGCACCTGTATAAGAAGGTCCCCCAAGTTGCTTTTGAATGCATCTAGATGAAAAACAATTACTATTAATGAGCGCATTTTACAATACAACAAGTAAATTGGTTGCTCTCATTAGTGCGATTATTAGCTGGATTAATGAGCTTTCTAGGTGGCATTTCCGTGTTTGGTGTTTGCATTTTGATTTCCACAAAGTGGGGGTGAGCTTTTGTCGTATGAAAATGTTGCTGCGGTTTCCCCTTTCCATCAAGCTCAAAGGAAATCTCGCTTTCCTGTGTATAGGTTTTTCATTGAATACCTGCGTTTCAATACCATCAAAATCCTTCAGAATTTAATTAATAAACTGGATAACAAAATAGCAAATATATTGTTAGCACAGATGGAAGATATTTTTCAATAAAACTGGTTTGCGAGGACCTGAAGTTAGCTCTGCAAATCTGGTAGCCGCTAGCGTGTGTCATTGCCATTGGAAAAATATCCTGAGAACTTACGATTACCGCTGAAATTTGAGCCTACATGTGTGCGGCTGATAAATTGATAAACTGGGGGTGTTTTTGTGATATCATGATGTGTTTTGCAACTTAGAAATTCTAAAGAATTCTGCAGTGGACAGCATTCATGTATAGTATTTCTGTTGTTAATGTAGATGGCAACGATGCGAACACCTTCGCATATCACATGCACCAAAGACAATCATAGATGATGTTTTCCGAATGACCAATGCAGGTCCGAACGCGCTTCACGTCATTTACAATCGCCAGATGTTTGGTAATGGCAAACTAAATATACATCTGCATAAATGCAGGCCATGCTAGGTCAACCTGAATACACTTTTTGCCATTTTCGTTCAATTAATCAATCAATTTCGTGAACATTTCATATGGAGGAGGTGGAAGTAGATTTTAGTTAAAAATGATGCGCTTTAGACAATACACATTTAATTCGATCAAAAATGATGTATCACATGCTTTTGAACAGAAATCTAACGAGAGCGGACTCTTGTGTTATGCACAAAGAATACAAAACCGCAATTGCAGTCGGTGGGCCCTTCTTTTTTGCAGTTCAATCACCGATGGTACATAAATTTCTGATTTGTTTCATGCCAACTTAATAAAAGTGCTGAAAGTTGCAGAAGTCTATCTCCGGAATTTAGCGGTTACCAACCAGATAACTATGTCGCCATGTCTGTGAGGCCAAAGCACATGATGTATAAGCTAAGAGGCTTCATGCCCTCAAAACTGGCGCTCTTCCAAAACATAAAGATGTTGTTTTTGAGCTAAAGAGGCAATCAGGTTTATCGGTGTTTGCAATGCCTCTGAACACATGTTTCGCTTCGCAACTGGTTGGAAAATGAGTACACGAAAACCCTACTCAGGCAGGTACCCCAGGCCGTCTGGAACTTAGATATTGTACCAGTAACTTAAGAATTTCAGACCATTACACTTGTTTACCGACATATGCCGCAAATACAATAAAATCATCACGGATTCAAACTTTTTGGGTAGCAACTGTAATGAGATATAAAAAATCTATGCCTTTAAAGTGATGGGCCGCGCGCAGAGAGTCTGTCCTCGTTGAGAAAATCCAGCTTTCCATGCGTGATTTTATTCCCACCAAATTTGGTCGCGGGTTTTTCGAAATATTCACATAACACTTCTCTACCTGTTCGTTGCATAGCACATTCGTTATCATTAGTGTTTTTTCCAAACTATTCTTAGATTATGTGAATAAAACACATGGAAATTCCGCGCGAAATTTTGTCATGTGGGCTAACGATTATAAACTTTAAATATACTGATGATTTGCTCAGGAATGATTTGCTGGTTTCCAGCAAAATTCGATGTTGTTGCACCATTTCCGCAGTCTGGCTAAATTTACTTTCCAAATGTGAATGTTAGACCTTATCTGTGGCAAAACATTATTTGTTAGGTTTCAGATGCATAATTTCACCATCTGTCCCGTGGAGATATTCTAATGACAACCTAATATTTTATGAAAAATCAAAATTAGACGCATGCATAATCGAGTAAGTTTTTCAGTTTCTCTTTAGTTCTGCCCTTAATTGGTGCATTACGTCTTGGGCATTCTATCTTTTGGATTTTGATGGCTGGTTGGCTCTTTGCTCTCATAGAAGTCATGTAAGTGTGAACCCCTCTTTAGTTCTGCCCTTAATTGGTGCATTGGGCATTCTAGCTTTTGGATTTTGATGGGTGGTTGGCTCTTTGCTCTCATAGAAATCATGTAAGTGTGAACCTCACGATTCCGCGAGGTGCTTCCATGTTCCTGCACAAACAGTGACCGTCGCCATAGAAACTACTACTCATTGGACGTTTTAATGCGAATCTCTCCCATGCGGCTTTATTTTCAGCTTTAGTTTGTATAACTACCGATTAGTTTAGCTTCTTTAATAATGTTGGCGATAACCACGATATGGTTCAATAGAAAAAGCCGAATACTTGCACATTATTATGATTCCTGCTCACGGTACACCTATTGTTCTACTCTAGACAAGTCGTCCGTTGTGGCAACGGAAATGCTTGAGACAGGCATTCGAAATTCACAGTCTATGGCAAACTTTGAACATGAAAAAAGCATGACATGCATCACAGATAGGGCTTTTTCATGTGAGTTGCCTGAGTCAAAATCTGGGAGTGATTTTGTGGTGTCACAATGCGTAGATCATGGTAACCCAATAAGCGAACCGCTGGATTGACGGACATGCTTCCGGTTATCTAGAAAACTAATGTGAATTAAAAGTGCCATAACCCGCTCCCACTTGCGTCCTGGTTGTTATTATATTTTCCGCTGAAATGCACACTTCCGTTTGTCTCAATATACCTGCACCCGAAGATTTGGACGGCAAACGAATTTTATGTTTAAGACGCGACCGCAAAGCTTTATTTCAACATTGCTTCTCACCAAATTCACTGCTCTTAGCATATTCTCATTGGTTCAACAAAGTGATGCTATTTTTCCCAATTTATACATCGACAATGAAATATTTTTTAAGCGGTTTATTTGGCCCCCATGTGTTCTTGTACAGGCGCTTTTACACTTCGTTGGCGGCCTTCAAGTACTTGGTCATTTTCTGTCCAATTCCAGGAGCCCAGATCAATTCGGATTCCAATTTGGAAAAGGACGTTCGACGTCGTGTGATAAAGGTTCAATATTTGCTTAGATTTTGAATTCATCTTTCACACTAGTTGCCGCAGTTACTTCAGCTTGTGACACAGTTACTTCCTGATGTCATCACTTATGTTTGCAATCACGAACGCTACCTGCATTATATAATTATGTTTAATGTTTCCATATAAGGAACTAAATTATATAAATCATATGCGTTTCTCAGCGTCTTTCTCTCACACTTTAGGTGCTACCGGACCTGTGAACACACTCAATGTTTGGATGCATTAAAATGACGAGGTTGTTACATCTGAGTGCACATTTCTCGCGCTACGAGCTCGCATGTTATTGGGAGAAGTGTGAAATTCACTCAGTTTCTAAAATTAGTTCATTTCTTCTGTAGGTAAAAAACAACCTAAACATTTTGCTTCATAATCTTGGCTTACAACAATCTGTCGCGCTAATTCATTTAAAGTATAATATATATAATATGTAATATATAATATACCTTATACACATATATATATAACATATGTAACAATTTATTTTACTACACTGTAATCAAGGGAACGTCAAACAGCCTGACGTTACGTTAAATCTAGTCTTATTTGTATGGCTTATTCATTCGTGATGTGGAATTCATTAGTCTCCGTTTTTTATTGTGGAGGCAAAATGCTGAACATTATTTAGTTGTTCAAGTCTGGTTCAAAATTTCTCAGCATAGGGCCATTTGAGAATGCGATTTTAGGCGGCAAAATAAGGAAACCATTCTCGGATATCTGCACTGAATTTTATTGGAAATAATCTGAAACCGTACACAAAACATTTGCTATTGCATGCACCTGGCAAGCTAGTCTGAGCTTTCATCAGAAGAATACTGCCAAGAGGTCAATATATTTAAAAATCGGATCCTTTCGTTTGCAGGATAACATTGCCTTAACAATCACCAAATGCGTACAATCTAGAATTATATACAAATGAGCTACCTAGTGAAAATTATTCAATTTCAAGTCTCCGCATTTGAGAAGTGTCAACTGGAAAACGTAAAAATACGTGAGGATTGAGATGGACTCTATGATTCGAGGTTGTAAAACCGTTCTCGCTGTCAGAAATGCGGTGATTCCATATACGACTCAAGGTATTCGCGTGGCAAATATTTTCTAGTCTCGGAAAACACGCCCCTTTGTTTGATGCTAATCAAAACAAAATTTTGTGCACCCATTTTGGCATTTGTGCATGAAATTTCTTCTCCGTTATAATCCCTAAAAATCCTTCCAGTAGGATTTTGAGTCGCACAGCAGCAGCCCAGCTGCCTCTGATGTTGTAGATGGGCAGCAGAGATATGGATAGGTGCATGTTATATTTTATTTCCTTCGCGGAAATATTCTCCAATTTTACCACAGGTTACGGCTTAACATTTGTCCCAGGTACTCCACTACTTGGAGTTCACTATTTCAAGGTTACGTACTGGTGTAACGGCGATACTACTGATCGGGAGGCACGCGAGTCGTATGTGTTGTTTGTAGAATTTGGCTTTGCGTCGATTGATAAATGGAATTCTGTTGCGGAATTCGCGGGGCCACTTTGTAACATTTGCTTTTATATGACCGACGAATGATTGGAGGCAATGAATCTCCAGGAAGACTCGTCCGGAAGAATACCCGTGTTCAGTTTTTGTAGCTAAGATGCAGATTAGAGTTTTGCTTCCTTGTTCAATCGTCTGTAACCGGTGAGTTGGCATTTCCGAATAAATAACTCCGCAGCGAAGGCCTTCTGTGTCTTACCGGTAGCTTCTGGCCCCGGGAGCTGCCTGAGGAATCACTGGCCACGTTGCAGTCGCCGGAGTACAGGGATGGTTCATCAGTGGAGGAACTGCAGACCAGGGTGGACCAACTCACCAAACAGCTGGCGGCCGTGAAGACGGAAGCGCGGCGACACGCTCAAACCAGCCGGTGCTACATGTGTGGCAGGCCTGGCCACTGGAAGAATCAGTGTCCCCGTAACCGATCGCTTGCACACAATAAAACTTTAGAGTAATCCTCTTTTCCTGGGTGGGTCGCGATTAGCGTACTGACACAAGCGACCATAGAAGCCATTGTCGAGGTAGACGGCAAAGAGTAGTTATGTTTGATTGACACAGGAGCAGGCGTATCGCTGAGGCAAAGAGGGAACCAAGCTGACCGTGCGCGCTAGCCGTGAGAGCTGTTGGCGTATATAGATTGAAGATTGACGGAATGTCAACGCACTCGATACGCCTGGGCGACCACTCCGTGCGGCACGCGTTCCTGATCGCCCCAGACGTAGAGCGGACGATATTGGGAGCTAATTTTTCAAGGGCACAGATGCCGTGATTGACCAAATGCGGGGAAGGCTGGTGACAACGTTTGGCGCAATCAAGCTTGAAGGCTATCCGGGCACTGTTGTGAGGGAGCCGTGTGTGCAAAAATTCCCGTCTTCTAATGTATTGTCAATACGGGCCGTGGTTGAGGAAAATTCCGAACTGTTAACGGGCGATGAGGATCCGTTGGCTTCTGCCCGTGGATTGAACACAAAATTCCTCTGTCAGCAGTACGCTTTTGACCATATTGGCCCCCGTCCGTTGCCGCTCCATCTATGGCAGGAAGTCCATAGACAGATTCAGATGTTGAAGAACGGTATAATCGAAGAAACCAGCAATGCGTACAATTCCCCAGTTGTGCTCATAAGGAAGACGAACGAAAAATACAGATTTTGCGTGGATTTCCGGCGCTTGAATTAGCTGACCGTAAATCGGATTGTGGCTGTGCCTTCGGTTGCAGAGATTTCCGATTCCCTCCAGCCCTCCCGATACTTCACTGTGTTCGACTTGCGCTCCGGTTATTGGCAACTATCTATCAAGCAGGAGGACCGGGAGAGAAGGGCGTTTACGGTTGGGGACATCCAATATCAGTTTAGACGAAGGCCGTTTGGTTTGTTAGGGGCACCATCCACATTCCGGCGATTGATGCTTCGTGTAACCAAAGGACTCCGGAATGTTGCCGTGTACGGAGACTATATAGCTGAGTACAGCAATTCAGTACCAGAGCACGTAGTTCACTTGAAGGCTGCATGGAGCGGATTCGGGAGGCTGGCATGCGGATAAATGAACCAAGACACAGATCGTTCGGAGTTCGGTGACAGTGCTGTGGCATAAAGTGGGTCATGCCCGAAAAATTGGCAAAGGTCAAGTATTGTGCTGTTCCCAATTCAAAGCGGTCTCTACGGCAGTTTCTTGGACGAGCAGCATATTACAGCCGGTTCGTTGAGGATTTCAACACGATCGCTGCGCCACTGTACGATCTGCTCTGTCAAAATAGGAAATTCGAATGGACCGGAGAAGCACATGAAGCTTTTGAGCGTGTCAAAGC